GAAAATATGTCAAACAAAATCTAAACATAATCCTAATTCTAAATAATACAAATATAGTAATATATATTTAAAAATATAGTTTATGTTGCAATTTAATCCCAGCTGAATTTCTTGATCCTTGAATTCAGTTGTTTCAACAGTTATTTAGAGGTCTTAAATTGTGGGTGTTACTTGATACATGGACCTCTTTAATACTAAACATTGATTTTGTTTCCTAGTGATTATTTTTGTGAAGTGAAATGTCTTCAAATAATGTGTAAATTGCATCTGGGATCTAGAATCTGTTGCAGCCACGTGGATCATGTTTTGAATATAATAATAGAAGTATGTCTTTCCATATACGTTGTTCCATATACGTTGTACATGGTTGTCTCATGTACAACCATGAGACAAAAAGCTGCAGGAAGATACTAACAGTCATCTCTCTGCCCTCCAAGCTGATCAGGTTCTTTGATACACTGTTCTAGCAGTGATAGCGTTTTTGGCTGAGCTAGGCTATTTTGCCAAACCCTAGAGTCATGAAAACAGGCAGCATATAAATCTCTCCCTCCCCTCTGCCCCCCAAAACTCCCAATTATGAATTATATAATGGGCATTGCCTGTCAGTATATGATGAAACTTGTTTTGCACTCTGGGCAACTACTGAATGGGAAGTGGTGAGGCATTGTAAAAAATTGCTTAACCTGCTTCAGAAAACTAGATTCTTTTCCCATGTGCACTTGAGGCTGCTTAGCAAATATAGATACAACCCTCAGCCCACCCCATTGGTATATTGTAGGGGAAGGAGAATTCTGTTTCTTTTAAGCAAGAAAGTCTTGGGTTTAAAGTATTTCTAAAAACCAGACTGGAGTCTTGTGTTCAGGACATTAGGTATTTATAAGGGTTTAGAATTATAGCTATGCTTACTGATGTATGGAAAGACAATGCTGAAACAGATATACTAAGTACATATTAAATAAAAGTTGTAATTATTATCAACCAAGTGTACATAGAATTAAGGACCAGCCTTAAGTCAATAATATATTAGATTGCTGAAAATAATGCCCCATCGATTGAAAAATGCACACACTTTAATTCTTTGTGTTTTGACTCGTGTCAGCTTTACAAAGGAATGGGAATTAGTTGTGAAATGTAATAGGATGTTTGAAATGCAATTTCAGTTCATACTTGGACTTTATGTTCTGCTCTGGTTATAAGATTTGGTATAGAGTTGAAAATTATATTCTTTTAATTATTGAATTCCTATTTAAATGTTTCTTACAGATGAAGATGGGTCTGAAATACTTGTATGGCATAACATATTACAGTTTTGTTAAACCTTTAAAGAAAAAAACTTCCAAAAATTATTCTGGGTACTATAAGCCCGATTTTATCAGCAAAGCATTTAATGCAAAATCTTTAAACCTTTAAACCTTTTGGATTGATGCAGGGTAGTTCTTAACTGGAAGACAGAAAGCTTGTATCAATGCAAGTTTTTGAGATGATTGCAGAATTGTAATTTGTTGTATATTAGATATTGAAGGTTAGAATAGGCCTATTAAAATAAAAGGCATTTAAATGGGGCATGTTGATTAAATGGTAGTGATCCACAGATAATCTATTTAATTTTCTGTCCATTAAAAAAAACTGAATGAATTTCATGTGCAACCTTCTCCAGTAGCTTATTTTGCATAATTGATATTGAGCTGAACTTTCAGAAAAATGGTATACAAGGGGTTTGAATTATGTACTCTTTCATAGTGTTTCAGTTTTGGTAGACCATGCTTTTTGAAAAAAATTGAAGGCAGGTCTCTATTCACTAAATTTTAAGTGTATTGATAAAACTATTAATAAAAGCCTGTTTAAATGTTGCATGCTTCAATGTTTATAAACATATTTAATGTTACAAAAATTGAAGCCTGAAAAAAGAGCACATCTTCTAATCTTTTGAGAGATTAAATGTGAACAAGAAGTATCTTGTAATTAATTACATGTTTTTTGGCTTACTAGGTACTCAAGGAGTTACATCTAGTCCAGTGATTGGGCTTCAGACACCTTCTACTGGCCTTTTAGGTGCCCGACCCGGTTTGATACCACTTCAGAGACCTCCAGGAATGCCACCACCTCATCTGCAACGGTTTCCAATGATGCCACCTCGGCATATGCCTCCTCATATGATGCACAGAGGTCCGCCTCCAGGGCCAGGTGGTTTTGGAATGCCTCCACCTCATGGGATGAAGGGCCCTTTCCCACCCCCAGGCCACTTTGCAAGGCCCAGTGGAATGCCTGGAGGTGGTCCAGGAGGATCTGAGGATAATAGAGATGGAAGGCAGTTCAGGAATGACAGGCCACCATTTACTCCACATAGAGACCAAGAAAGGTTTGGAAGGAGGTCTTTTGGGAATCGGATAGAAAATGAACGTGAACGCTATGGCAACCGTAATGATGACAGAGAGCATGAACGCCTTGGTAATCGTGAAAGGAGAGAATGGGGAAGAAGAAGCCCCGAACGTGATAGACACAGAGACTTGGAGGAAAGAAATCGGCGTTTCAGTGGACACAGAGAGAGAGATTCTAGAGATAGGGAACCCCATAGAGAAAAAGATGAAAATCGAGGAAAGGAGAAACCCGAGTTAACAGACAGAGTAGATGGGGTCAAAAACTATGAATCTCAGAGCAGTAAAGTAGAAAACACAGACTCTGTTTCAGAACTTAATAAAGAGTCTGAACCTATTGGTGTGAAACCAACTGAAGAAGTAGCATCTGAGTCTACCTCATCTCTTGAAAAACCTGAAAAACCTACTGGCTCAGTTGTGGAGGCTCCTCGCTAGAGACTGGAATTTGTCAAACATTGGAGTGTAGAGCTTTAGAATTGTACAGTATGCTGTATATTTGCTTTTGCTATATCACAATTCCCCCATAGTTTATGGGGACATGTAAGCAATTTGATTGCTTCCCTTCTATTTAAAATAGCTACACAATAACATGAAAAGAAATAAACCATTACCCATTTTCTGCTGTAACTTTTTTAAAGTTTTCACTTTAAAAAGTTTACAAATCAGACTTAGAAGTGCTTTCTATTTTTTTTTAATTTAAGTGAAGGTAAAATGGTGAAAGCTCCTAAAAATAGGGATGTGTTTTTAATAAACTCTATTTTCATAACAATCCTTAACGTGTGCTATTCTTCCTATGCTGCACTGAAGTGGTAAAGAATTGTTCAACATCTTAAAAGTTTGAACTAATGCTGTACTGGAGTCTAAATTAGACTGTTTAAATCTGTTAAAACTGTTTGTATAATAGTTCACAGAAGCTAAATATGTGATAGTTACATTGATTATAAATTTATGCATTTTAATTAACTACATTAGATAAAAATTAATAGCTTTTAAATGTTTTAAGAAATCTGGTGTTTGCAGTGAAGTCACTTTTTTTCCTGGCCATCCAATTAATGCCGTGGTAAATGTTGCCCTATAAATAAGTTCCTGGACTTATGCCAGCTCCTGTGGAAAAACTTTTTTGGTGATTTAATCCATTAGTATGTTTGGGCTTGTTCACCTCCTCCAAATTACCACTGTATTTTAATGTGTCTTGGAATAGAGTATATGAAAGCAGACTACTAAGGTTTTTAAAAGGACTTTTGCATACTTTTGCCAAGTAACCAAGCTATTTAAGCTGGCTGTGTCATCGTAACTTTGTAGTAAGTGAAAGAAACGAGTATTAACTCCATTAGCAAATGCCAGCAAGCCTTAAGAGTAATATACATTTTATTCCTTGGTTTATTCTATACAGTGATACTCTTATCCAAAATTGCAGCAAACAGCAAATACCGATGCCATGAAATTTTTCTGTTTTGATTTGGTGTGTCTTTCAGATAGCTTGTTATGCTCACTTAAGCGGAAGTATAGATTCTTCCCCTCCCTCCACTTAATTTTTGGAAGATGACTTGAGGCAAAATTATTCTTTGCAATAGAATAAAAAATAACTTTATATATTCTTGTGAAATTAATTTGTAATTTGTTTTGAACTGTTTCCATACCATTTATCAGCATACCAAAATTGATTCTAAAATTCATTTAGTAAGCAGTCCCTAATTCAGTGAAGATCATCATGTATGTATGAATAGAAATGATCAATACTTGCTTGAAAAAAAAGTTCAGTGATATAAAATTTCCATGCGGCGCACTCACAAAGCTCTCAACTTGTTGGCCCGCATTTTGTTCTAGATATTAAAACTCTTAATGGATTATAGTCCCTGCTAGTTACCAGGTGGTGAAACAGACTTGTGTGGACAAAGCATATATATAGCCAAGTACAGTGTAGACAGCTTTTAAGACAAGGCCATTAATTTGCTCCAACACAGGTAACCACTACTAACAATTCTGATTTCTCTGCCTTTAACATTAAAAAAAAAAAAAAAAAGAACCAGATTCACTAATCTGTTTTTATTTTCAGCATGGTCTTCTATAACAATGCTCTGTGAAATTCCATCTTTATATGATAGGATTAGCAGTATAAAACCATTACTAAATTTAGGGTTTGTTTTGTTTTAATGCCATACAGGATTTTGCAGATTTGTTACCAGAGTTTGTTATCAAACCCTTTAAGGTCTCACTTTCCATAGTGAAGTGGCAGGACTTCTGTTCAGCAACTGCCTTTATAAAGGTAATGTAATATAGTTATGTAGACTTCATAGATTACTTAAATGAAAATATTTTTGTTGGTTTCTTGTAAAATTTAACATTTTAAACCACATCCCACAGGAAGCAGCAACAGTTCTTATATAGAAAGTTTGGATAAATATTTGGAAGTATGTGGTCTCCAGTGATCAGGCTGTCATTTAAGATTTATTTTGACCAGTCTTGATTTATTAAATAAAACCTAGAATGAGAATTCGCTGGATTTTTAAAGAAAAGGATTATCAAACTAGCATTACAGCGATTTCAGATGTCCAAAGCATTTCCCTTAGAATGTTTTTTTAAAAAACTGCACACTCAACATCCATATAATACCAATACTCTGCATTTGTGTTTTACAGCACTTTAATAACAGATAAAAAGGTAAGGGAAAAACAAGACTTGCCAGCTTAAATTCCATTTAATACAACCATAATATTCTTTTTTAAACCATAACAAAGCCCATTAACGGGCAATTCTACAAACACATTTATATTCCACATACTGTACTGCTTCTTCTATTCATTGTCACTCATAGAAGTACTTTATGCTTTAGCTAGGCCAACTACTCCACAAGCTAGACGAGGACCAGCATTTCCAGTTTTCAAGCTCTCTTCATTTCCTCCTCTACCCAGGTCATCCTCCTTTTCATGAACCTAAAAGGTACAAATCAACACATTCAAGTCAAGGCCATTAGTTAATAAAATTGGAATTTTATTCTCAATTTTCAGGGTTGTTTTTTAAAAAAACATGTCCCTTTGTTGAATTATATATGCCTGCAAGAAATTATATATTCTACCATATCTTAATATGAAGAAGAAAGCATCTACTAGTTTAACAGTAAGTTAAAATTAGTTAAGATACTGGCAATCCTTTGCTGCAACAAGAACATAAAATGCTTACGGGATATGGAGCAATCTTGTTCCAGAGCAAGCAGGCCTCATGAGAAATATGAGCCATCATAGTATGAAAATTTACACTTAAGTTCTAGATAAATGCAATTAAGGAATCAAAAAAGGATTACTGCCTTCAGTGTTGTGTTGTTATTCCTATATGCTCATAATACAGCTACCAAATCTGGATAGTTTCCTCTTCATGTGTGGTGAATTGCATCTCATAGCATTCTTTGTTACTGGCCAGCCTGATTTGGGCCACTGGCCTTATGAATGTTCAATATTCCTAGTGTACAGGAACATCTTTCTATGACGATTAATCTGAAAATTTAAGCATATGCAGAACTGTATCTTAATATTATGGACCTCTACTGGATATTTCTCCATCTATAATTCATACCAAGGCATCAGGAAATCTGGGCTTAAGGATGCTATAAGCCCAGGTTTGGTCAATGGGTTCCATATCAACGGTTTCACACTGAGTCCCTGCTGATTACCACCTGAAAATTCTGGGTTTACTAATTTAAAAAAAAAAATGCTTACAAAGGTCACTCAACTTATAAAGGTTGAGTGAAAGCCAGAATAAAAAATAATTCCCCGACTTACCACCAAAGAACGTCCAATAATTGAATGTGGTCCTGAGAGAGAAATACACTGGTCCTCCATTGACACCTCTGCAACACCTGACTCATTTGCAATTACATTTCCAAGATCACCAACATGCCTGGAATAGAGTTGTTTCACAGAGTTAACAATAAAACCTGACCAACAATGTCTCTCATACACAATTTTCTACAGTATTACCTTCATACGGCTGTTTTCAAGCTGTACATGAAAGTCATGTTGATCAGTTTTTAGAAATTTAGATTAGAAATACTATAGCCAGCTAATAATGCTCTTAACAATATGTCAATATTTAGGTATTAAAACATTTAAAATTTGCTGTAAACAGAATCTTCCACAAATGCAATATCCAGTTACACTTAAAAGCCCGTAACATTAGTCTTAAGGCTTCACTTGTAGAAATAATCTAAATACACTTCAATGCCAAATACAATGCTAGTTGTTTAAAGTTTTCCTATTGCAGCCATTGCCTTTTTTACACTTATCATGAACAAAATACTGGATCTCCTTTTGTGTAATTCTTAAAGCAGCAGCTGTTAATGACATAGGAAGAGAATTTATAACTATACAAGTTTCCAGAATGTCCTGAAGAGTTCTGCTGGGGTCTATTTGTAATATAAAGCTACAAATACAAATTGATATTTTCATTATAATTCATGTGTATACAAGTACTGATGCCTTTAATTGTATGGCTGTATTTTGCTTGTTCAAGTAGTAACTGTATTTTTATTTTTGGCAATGCTGAATAAACTGTATGAAGCACAAATCTCTTGCTACGTCTTCAGACTAGTATATAGAAATACAGAAATATTCCCCTAAATATTCTAGCTTGGTGCCTCTGAACAAGATACTAAGGAAAGAACCCGTTCATTTAATAAAATCTGGTGAAAAATCAATTGATTTACTTATCAAAATTATACTCCATCCCCAAAATGACTACAGGTAGTCCTCGACTTCAGTATTGTTCAAAGTTACAGCAGCATTGAAAAAAGTAACCTATGGCTGTTTTTCACACAACCACTGTAGCATCCCCATACTCATATGATTAAAATTCAGATGCTTGGCAATTGACTCATATGATGGCTGCAGTGTCCCCGAGTCATTGGGATCATCTTATAAGTCAATGGAAATGCTTAATAACCGTGTTAGTAACTTTACAATTGCAGTGATTCACTTAGCAGCTATGGCAAGAAAGGTCATAAAATAGGGCAATTGTTTTGCTTGCCAACAGAATTTTTAGGCTCAATTGTGATTATAAATTGAGGATTACCTGTATTTTTAATCTTTATAAACCTCTTAGAGAGCACATCAGTTGCCATTTCTTAAGGACACAATATTTAGGGCTGAGATTTAAAACAAATGTTTCAAAGCAGGGGTCACCAACCCCTGGACTGTGGACCGGCATGCCAGAAACTGGATTGCACAAACAAGCAAAGTCCCACCCGCAGGATGCAGGCAGCACACGAAACCACGGCCCCTCTGGTCCGTGGAAAAACCCCTCTTCATGAAACCGGTCCCTGCTGCCCAAAAGGTTGGGGGCACTGTTTTAGACAGAAAAAGGTGGCCAAGTCAAAAGCTGGAGAACAAAATAATATAGGAAACTTTAAATTACTGAAGGAAGCAGGTGTCCCCATGAAGTACAAAAAGCAAGCAGCTAAAAAAGGTGCTAAGAATAAATGAAATTAATAATTGAAGAGATAATGAATGATTGAAGAGACAGACAAAACAAGCTAGTCATAGGGCCATTGTACAAAACTGGAGGTTCAGAGACTTAATTTATATCTTGCATGAGCAGGCACAGATAAAAATTTCTGAGATTGTGAGCTGAGTCACTGGGCACATGCACGCCTGAAGCAACCATTTGTGGAACAGTTTGTGTGAGCAGCAACTTTAATGCCTCCAAGAAAGATGCTTGTTTTACACTAATGAGCTTTGCAAATTATGTCTTTCAAATATTGTGAATAGATATGTTATTAAGTTAGTATCTGTGATTATTCACACACTGGGAAATTTTTTGGAAAACTTCAAACAGAACACATATATCTAACCTGAAGTTAAAGAATTAGAAAGGTGGTCTTGGTTTGCAAAGTGCAAACCCACTCTACCAGAAGTTACCCTTTAAATCACACATAGGAGAAAACATTTTTATACATACCTTATTTCATCCTGTGGCCCACCGTGAGTTTTCCCCTCAGGATTGAAGTGAGGACCTGCACTGGTACATCCTGTAACGTACAAAATAATATGCAAGTCAACAAAGATAGCTTTAAAAATAAAACCTAATAGAAAAACTCTATTATCTTATAGGTATTTAAGATGGTTCGATCTATATATTCTATATAACATACACAAACTACAAGCATTCTTATTTGTTAGGATATACAAAAAATCTACCATTTGAATTTGAACATTTGAAAAATTGTCATCATTGTTTGAATGATTTGAAAAGCATTCAACACTTATCAGTAGATGAATTTCATTTCTTTCATTTAGAAGTTAAATGAAAAATAATCAGGCATTTATTTATCATTTATCCATAATTTTAGGATGACAATCTGTATTCGTGGTTATCAGAAAAATGTTAACACAAAAATGTTACCAGTTGTGTTATCTCCAAATTCATGGATGTGGAAACCATGTTTCCCTGGAGTCAATCCTTCAATTTTTCCTTTAACAATTACTTTTCCATCATCCTGAAATATTAAAAAAATGCACAATAATGTTCAAGCAGTAATTTCACAAAAGAGTCTTAAATATGCAGAATTAAAATTGTTCCTCATATAGAAAGTAATTTAATAGGAATTTAGAAAAAAATGACCCTATTTGAATCAGAATCCAAATTAAGAAACAGACCAAATCAAAGAATACATTGAGAATTGCATGATGAATGCACACATATCTATAACCCCAAACTGAATGCTGTTATGCCATATAGCAGGATTAGCTATTTCAATATGTGTACCATATACTTTTTTTTTTGCTTTAATTTGTATGCCGCCCTTCTCCGGAGACTCAGGGCGGCTTACAATGCATTAAGCAATAGCCTTCATACTTTTGTATATTTATACAAAGTCATCTTATTGCCTCCACAATCTGGGTCCTCATTTCACCTACCTTTGAAAGGATGGAAGGCCGAGTCAACCTTGAGATTTGAACTTGCAGTAATTGCAAGCAGCAGATGTTAATAACAGTGCTTAAGTCCACTGTACTATAGGCTCTTCCTTGATTTTTACTTGATTTTAATGTGCACATTTTCAATGCCACAACCAACAGAGGTATATGATATTAACAAGCATATGCATATATTTGTTAATATCTATAGTATAAAACTCCTGTTTCAATTTTTCCCAATCTTGGCAAGCAACCTTTGTAGTAATTTTATTACAAAAATAAAGCTAATACAAACTAAAAATAGAAAAGAAAAAAAATAGAAAAGAAAAATAATAAAGAATATTTTTTTATAAAGAATTGACTTCCTCTTCATTATAAACAACTTTGGTAAATTATCACATTCTCTTAAAATACAAATGATCTCTTCTTGCCAAATCCCATCTCTTATCTATAAACAAATCCTTAAAATCTCGTTCAGTCCTGATCAGCAAAAGTCTATTATAGATTACCAGAGATAACAAACTTTATATCACTTCCTTTTATCAATCTTGATCTTTAATCTCTTGAATTAGAGAGAGTTTTACCCATTCATAAAATGGTGGGTTTCAACAGTCAGGCTAAACCACAGTCAACCATTTCTCTCTACAGTCCCAGTTTTTCTTGATTACTTTTATTTTTTTTGCGGAGGGAGGGCGGGGGTGGCATTTCCAAACAAAAAACACCAGGCTGTAATTGCCTACTCTTTCAAGAGTAGCTTTTTAGGAATAACATATTCTTACAAAAAGCTTTGCAGGTTACTACTCTGTAATTAATAAGAGTATTTTGAAATATCAGATGGATGAGGAATTTGGCAAAAGCCTGAGTTCCTGAGGCATGTCAAAGTCTGAAGCCATGAGATAACAACATATGCTAAAAAAGAGATTAATCCCTTGAAAAGGCTTGAATCTTTGGCAGTTCTGAACCTCCTTCTACAAACAGCTTTCAATTTTAACTACCCTATGGAGGGTAAAACTCCCACCTAATTTGATGGCAACCAAGAATGTAAAGTTCTAAGAACTTCATTAAGGAGAGCCCTGTTTTACTAATCTCTTCTTCTGGGACTTTTTTTTAAAGGGGTTGGACCCTTAGATTTTAGTGGTTGGCCAAAAATGGCAAGTATGTCATAGAGTATAAATGCCTCCATTTCCAAAGACTTCATCTATGTAGTCCAGGGGTGTCAATGTAGTCCAGGCTACACCCACCCCAGCTACACGAAGGGAAAAAACATCACAAAACGAGTTTGACACCCGTGATGTAGTCCAACACTAATGTAGTCTGTTACACTATTCCCAAAATCTAGGCCAAATTCCAAAGAAAGGTACTTTAACTGTTTAATAAATGTGCAAAATTCACAATCATGGGGTAAGTTTATTTCACAGATTCTTTTAGAAATTACCTGAAAGTTTGTAACTGTTCTTTCATTGTTTAGATAACCATTAATGCAAGTATTTCATCAGTGGCAACAGTAGTTACTTATTCAGAGATCCCCCCCCCAAAGTTAACATATTGCAGCATTAAAAACGTGAGATGTTGACCTAATGCAAAATAAGTATTGCATCACTAACACCCAACTATGAGAAACTAATAATTATACCAGTTGAGAGCTACTTTAGTATGATTAAGCCATCAGGCTAGAAACCAGAGGAAGAGAATTCTTAGGTGCAAAGTCAGCTGGGTGACCTTGGGCCAGTCACTTTCTGCCAGCTCTAGGAAGGAGGCAATGACAAACCACTTTTGACAAATCTTGCTAAGGCAACTGCAGGAACTTGTCCAAACAGTTTGAGAATCAGGCCCAATTAAACTAAAAGAAAAAAAAATAGGTAACTGATATCAACTAGAAATCATATTTTATTTTAATACATGTGCCAAAATGATTTTCAAAACTGTTTATAATGAAGGCACAAGCTTGTATGTTTTTTAAACCAAGGAGAGTATTTTAATGGGACAAAGCATGGTTCTTTTTAAAAATAACTTTAGTTTTCTATAAACAAATACTTTTCAATTTCAAAGGATTAAATGATCAATATAAACAAATACACAAAAATATTACTGGAAAATATACATGACTGTCACAATGTTAAATGTAAAGTTTCTATTGAATGCTTACTTCTGAACAAATACATTTCTTAAAATCAAACAATGCATTGAAAAAAATCCTCTATTGTGTGAATTTTCAACTGCCACCACTACAAGTGTTTGAAACTATTCTGCAAACAAATTCTACAGCTGATCAGAATTGATTCAAATATTTCAAAGCATCCCTTTTGCCACACTTTAAGAGCTGTTAATTATGTATGTGGTCTACTGTTGCCAGCAGTATATCACATACATAATTAGAGTACATACAAAGTTGATGCAATCTATTAAATAAGTAAACAACCCATGTATGAAATGTATAAAAGATAAATACTATATCTAGCATTTCCTAAATAGCATACAAAAAAGATTATCTATCGTAACTCTAATCCACGGCTTCATCTCCATTTCAGTTTCCCATGGCAGATGTATACTGAGCACCCACATAACCTTTATATTGTGTTCATTAAGATTTTATTTATGAATAGGCACAGAGGTTGCAAAACCTGTTTGTCCAGTGAGGAGAATTCAAAACTCATACTCTTGTCTTTCCCAGCTTCAAAAGCAGGCATTAAAGTCCTCTTCTAAAACTATGACCCAGCAATTATTCTTTATGGAGCAGATTAAATAAATCTGGAGCATGTGCATCTTTTATTACAGAATGGACAACAGAGATGCTCTCTGAGGATCCTGAGAAAGTTTTGGGGAAGTTACCCTCACTGGAAACTAAAAGATAGAAAAATCATAACCTCAAACAAATAGGATGTTAGTTTCATTGGTCCAAATGTTATTCTGCACAAAGGCAATGAAAAGGGAGATTAAAAAATGCATGATAGAACTAAAAATCTGAGCAAGAATTAAAAACTATTTTATCTTCCCTAGCAACAGCTATTTTTTTTTTAAAAAAAAATCCCAAACTCGAGTTTGCAGTTTCTGTTATCTGGTATTTCATAACTACTACTCCTCTTCTACAACCTTAATCGATCCAAATCTAAACAGATCAAGGGCAAATCAGGATAAAGTAGCAATAGTAGAAGTTTAGCCTCCAACCACAGTTGTGCAACTAAATCCAGATTTAGTTAACCTGATTCTGCAACCTTTCGCAATTAGGAAAGAAATCAAATGGACTTCTCCCAAAAGAACGGGACCCAGGGTGCACGAGGTCTCCACTTGCAATATTAACCCGGTTATCTGGGACATCCTCTTCGGTTCAGCATCTCAGCCCGGGAATAGCCTACAAAAAAAACCGATCAGGGACTTCCAAGCCGCAGCTTCCAACGTGGGTACTGCGTAGCCTTCCAATTTACGCTTCCTACAGCGAAAGGGAAAAAAATTCTCTGTCTTAAGAATAACCCGGGAGCCAAGCCTTACTTTTTGCTCAAAGTAAACGACGCCGCTGACGTTGGCCTTGCAGTTGGGGTCGCGAAGCAGAATGCAAACCGCTTTCCGCGACGCCATATCTTTCGCCATGTCTTCGACTGCAGCAGCTTCGCCCGCACTGCAAACACCTCTCCCCGAGCGCTTGCGCGACGCCCCCTTTCATCAGCGTTTTATAGCCTCCGGGCTTTCTCTTCCTACCAATCACGAAGCTTCGTTGAGCTTCTAAGACCTGCCTTCGCGGGACGACGAGGCCAATCTGTGAGTCGAAATTTAAGTGTTTTTTTTTTTTCTTACGCAACCAGAGAGAAAAATTAAAGGAACCGGGCCGCCTTTGCTGAGCTAGAAGCGTGAGGTCACGTTTTGTTCGCAGGCTTCTAGTGGACGCTCAAACATAAATGCCCGGTCCCTTAAGAGCAATGAAGAGGCGCGGACATCAACTCCCAGAATTCCTCAGCCGGCTCTGTGAGAATGCTGATAACAACCAGTTCTGCTGGCTGAGGAACTCGGGGAGTTGAAGTCCGCGCCTCTTCAAGCTGCCAAGGTTGAGAAACACTGCCTTAGAGAATGCATTTTATTACCATTTTCAAATAGTTTATGAATAACGTAGAGAGTAAAAATAATGCAGAGAGACAGTTTGTGTAGTGGTTAAGGCATCAGAGACCATGAGTTCTAGTCTGGCTTTAGGTACAAAGCTGGCTGGATAACCTTGGGGCAGTCATTTTCTCTCAACCCTAGGGGCAAATAACACGGCTTTTGTTATTTGTTAACTAACATAGTTACTTTGAATTTTAATCTGATTTATATTCTTTCTTTAAAGTGATGTTCAAAATTTATTAGCTTTTAACATTCTTAAACTGATAAACAAGCTGATAAACAAACTAGCTCCTGATAAGAAAAGTTTGTTAGTACAAATTGGGGTCTGGCTTATCTCTTTTTGAACCCTAAACAACCTTTCTCCTTACAATTTATTCCCCTTCAGACCTCATTTTAATAAACATGTATGCTATTATCCTGTCCAATCAACTTTCCTCTTTCAAATTTCTTTGTTATGTTAACTATAAAAGGGATGTAAGCTAAAGATCGGGATTCCCTCTTTGAATGGAGAATCTCTTTTGCCTGAATATTCTGATAAATTGTAATAAAGTGATCTTCCTGTCTCGGTTTGTCTCATTGGAAAATATGCACACCGAGGCACAAGCCTGAAAAAGCCATATTTGACCATCAAAAGAAACCAATGGCAAATCTGAAAATCCTTGTCCAGAAAACTGCAGGGATTTGTCCAGGTAGTCTCCAAGAATGTTGGACTCCATTGAAGGGAAGAAAAAAAATGTAAGGCTTGTCTCTCTTATTGTCATTCATTTATTGTGCAGGTAATCTTAGTACAGGTAGTCCTCGACTTACAACAGTTCATTTAGTGACCGTTTGATGTTACAATGGCACTGAAAAAAGTGACATATGGCCATTTTTCCTGCTTATGATCATTTCAGCATCCCCAGGGTCACATGATTTACATTTGGATGCTTGACAACTGACTCAGTATTGCAGTATTCTGGAGTCAAGTGATCTCCTTTTTTGCAAACCATCAATGGGGAAACAGATTCATTTATCAACCATGATTACTAATTTAAGAACTGCAATGGTTCACCTCATAAAATGGGGCAAAAACCCCCAAAAATATTTTGGGTGATAGGTAACTGTTCATTTAACCATCCACTGCATGTTTTGTTTTTTAGATTTTGTCTCCAGGACTGTTATTACTGCTGGTGACAGTTGGACTAATGTTTCAAAATATTGGGTCATAAATACATACTGTACTGGTAGTCCTTAACTTATGAATGATTGTGGAATCCTTGGTGCTCTCTGAGCTTACTTGTTTTCTTGCAAATATCTCATTATCCTAACTAGGTAACATCATCATAGTTAGGGTAATGAACACCATAGTTAGGGTAATGAAACGTTTGCAAAAAAAACAAGTAAGCTCAGAGAGCACCAAGGACCCCTCATTTCAACCCTGAGTTACAAATATTCTCCTTTATTGGTTATGACTGATTGCTTAGTGATTTTTTGAAGCTATGATGAACAATCCAAAAGCTTCTTATGACCTGATTTCATAGTTATGATGGCTACCTCCCACTGTAAAGTGAACTCATTGTGGGTGTTTGGCAAATGGTTTACCTTCATGGCCATGTGCAGCATTCTGTGGTAATATCACTGCAATTTCAGACAATTTTTGCTGGTTTTTGGCAAAAAAATGCCTATTTTGTAAAATGAATTTGCTTAGCAACTGCTGCATTCACTTAATGTCTGGTGTGTTTGCTTAACAACTGCTGCATTTGCTTAATGACTGCCACCAAAAATGTCGTAAAAGTGGGGGAGATCACATGGGGACCACTTAATGACCACAATGTAAGTGTAATTCTGGGCTCAGTTACGGTCATTAATCAAGAACTATCTGTAAAAGCATTTTCTGTCAGTTATTTTTTTTTATATCTTTGTTTAAAGACCAACATGGCTGCCTCATACAATACTATATGATTAATCTTTTCTTTACTGTACCATACTACACTACATTATAATAATCCTAGATGGCTCATAACAAAATCAATAAAACAAGATAAAAACTTCATACCTTGGCATACATTTTAGTAATCATATGCCCTTTCTCCTGGGCAAAGGCCAATCTACACAGGTTTTTGTTTGTTGTTTTAATGTACATTATGAAACAGCTCTTCAACATTCTTCAAAGCTATTTACTTATCCTAGAGCATTTGGAAGTCAAGAATTACTTGTTCATTGGTATGAGCTTTCTTTTTCTTCAAGTCTTCTAATCTCATCTTTTCTAATTGTCTTGGCTTAATTTTACCCTGAAATCTTCATTTTCATTTGAAATCATCCATGCTAGGAATAATCCATATTGAATGCCATCTTCCCTATTGACTGTATATCTTTATTTATTTATTTATTTTATTAGATTTTTATACCGCCCTTCTCCCACTGGACTCAGGGCGGTGAACAGCCAAGACTAAAAACATCGCATACAAAATTTAAAATTTTTTTTAAAAAAGAATTAAACAAATTTTGGCCCAATAAATTTAAAACACCCCAACTAAAATCAATTAACAATTAAAAATATCTAAGGGGGGGGGTTTAAGCCAGAGCGGCTTGATGAAATAAAAAAGTTTTAAGGGCACAGCGAAAAGCACGGAGATCTGGGATCCTACATATCTCCGGGGGCAGGTCGTTCCAGAGGGCAGGTGCTGCCACAGAGAAGGCCCTCCCCCTGGGGGTCGCCAGCCGACATTGTCTGGCCGACGGCACCCTGAGAAGTCCCTCTCTGTGGGAGCATACTGGCCGGTGGGAGGCTATCGGTGGCAGAAGGCGGTCCCGTAAGTACCCAGGCCCTAAGCCATGGAGCGCTTTAAAGGTGGTAACCAACACCTTGAAGCGCGCCCGGAAGACCACCGGGAGCCAATGCAGATCATGCAGGAGGGGTGTCACATAATCCCCCGCGCGGCCTCATTCTGCACCAGTTGGAGCCTCCGGGTGCTCCTCAAGGGGAGCCCCATGTAGAGAGCATTACAGTAGTCCAGGTGGGAGATGACGAGTGCCTGAGTGACCGTGCATAAGGAGTCCCGATCCAGAAAGGGACGCAACTGGTGAATCAGGCGAACCAGATAAAAAGCCCCCCTGGCCACGGCCATCATATGCTCTTCTAAAGACAGCTGTGCATCCAGGAGGATGCCCAAGTTGTGAGCCCTCTCCGTGTGGGCCAGTGACTCACCCCCAATAGCCAGCGATGCCATCAGTTGGCTATATCGGGACGCCGGCAGCCGCAGCCACTCGGTTGAGTCGGAGCCTGTTTCTCCCCATCCAGACCCGCACGGCCTCTAGGCACCGGGACATCACTTCAAGGGCATCATTGGGATGGCCTGGGGTGGAGATGTACAGCTGAGTATCATCAGCGTACTGATGGAACTCCACCCCAAAACCACAGATCATCTCGCCCAGCGGCTTCACATAAATGTTGAACAGGAGGGGTGAGAGGACCAACCCCTGCGGCACCCCACAAACAAGGCGCCTCGGGGTCGACCTCTGCCCCCCTGCCAACACCAACTGCGACCGGTCAGAGAGATAGGAGGAGAACCACTGTAAAACAGTGCCCCACACCCACAACCCCTCCAACCAGCGCAGCATGATACCATGGTCGATGGTATCAAAAGCCGCTGAGAGATCTAACAGGACAAGGATAGAGGAACAACCCCTATCCTGAGCCCTCCAGAGATCATCCACCAATGCGACCAATGCCGTTTCCATGCTGTGCCCAGGCCTGAAGCCGGACTGGAGCGGATCCAGATAGACAGCTTCATCCAGGTACTGCGGAAGCTGTTACGCCACCACACTCTCAACAACCTTCGCCACAAAGCGAAGGTTGGAGACTGGACGGTAGTTAGCCAAAACAGTCGGATCCAGAGAGGGCTTCTTGAGGAGGGGCCTCACCACCGCCTCTTTCAAGGCGGAAGGCAAGACACCCTCACTCAAAGAAGCGTTAATAATCCCCTGGAGCCAGCCTCGTGTAACCTCCCGGGAGGCCAACATCAACCAGGAGGGACACGGGTCCAATAAACATGTGGTCGCATTCATCCATCCCAGAATCCTGTCCACGTCCTCGGGAGCCACGGGTCAAACTCTTCCCAGATAACATTCTCAAGACCTGCCTCTATCATCCCGCCTGAATCTACCCAGTCAGAGACCAAGCCTTCCCGAATCTGAGCGATTTTATCGTGCAGATACTGGACAAAATCCTCAGCCCGACCCTGCAAGGGATCCTCCCACACTCCCAGATGAAGAAGGGAGTGGGTCACCCTAAACAGGGCGGCTGGGCGATTATCTGCAGATACGATAAGAGCGGAAAAATAATTACATTTTGCTGCTTTTATCACCATTAGGTAGGTCTTAATGTGAGACCTCACCAGTGTTCGATCAGATTCGGAACGGCTGGCCCTCCAACCGCTCTCTAGGTGTCTTTTCCGGCGCTTCATCTCCCTCAGCTCCTCGGAGAACCAAGGAACCAAGTAAACTCGGCGACGGGTCAGAGGCCGCAAAGGCACGACTTGGTCCAAACCACCAGCAGCCGCCCTGTTCCAGGCGGCCAC